TCTGAGGTACACGAAAAATGCATAGGAAAAACAGGATAGCTTTAAAAGCGTTTCTGCTCCTGATGCAGAGCTGTATCTTTGCCTTTCAGTTTGGATTAAATGGTATCGCCATCTGTTATCACCATGCGTGCGTCTTGACAGGATGGGCTCATCCATAACCCACTTGCTCTTCAATTTCACCATTCAACACTTCTGTCTTATTAGCACATCTTTTCAGATTAATAGAGACATCAGTTAACAGGGTTTGATGACTACCGTTGGCTCCAATGAAAAGTTCAAAGCACACAAATCATGCTGAACGTTTATGAATGGGCTCAAAATATACAGAATGTGCTGCATCTAAATTGTGAAGGATTCTGTTTAGTCTCATTCATGTTCCTCGACGATTTGGTTTACTTATTCGTTCAATCCATTCCTTGCGCAGCATTTTGGTTGTTTTATTTCTAATATGGCCACACGGAATTTTGTCGGTGGACACTATTGATCATTTCGGGAATGTAACCGATTGCAGTATGCACGTGCAATGATTCCAACACTTTCCGAGAGGACGGATGGGTTACACTTTATGAAGTTTTGGAAATGTGCAGGTTAAGTTGGCACTGATGGAGAAAGAACAATTTTTCCCGCACACGAATATGTATTATATATATATATATATGTATTCTAAAAATTAAGAAACTCACCGATGAAGAATATAAATGAATCAAACCTAAAGAAGGTCTGACACCACCCTTCTATGAATTATCGAAGTTGCACAGGCCCCAAATATCACGACGACCGATTGTCGCGTGTACAACAGCCCCCGAATACAATCACGCAAACAGTCTCTTTCAGTTACTACACCCAGCCCTATCGCCGAACCACAATTTGGATGGCGGTGGCTTAGTGACAAAGGCCATCAAATTACTACCCTGGAAGACTGGTTCGAATCCCACCACCACCGCCTGACTTTTCCGGTGGTGTGTTGTATGACAGCCCTTAGTTTGGCCAATTTCCCATTCTTGAAAATCGTATCATTGTACATTTCATAAAAGGAAGCAAAAAGAAAAAAGAAAAAATGTTACAAAATGTCCTACCACATTACATAGGTGAGATAAACAAGCAGCCAAGCATCCGCCGATCGAAGATAATCTTAGCCTCAGACGCGCTGACCCGAGGTCATAAATCTGGACTTAATGCACACAGATCAAAAACGATCAATAACGCCAGGGTGGTGGTGGGATCGGTTGATTCTCGAAGCTCAGCAGTTGGTTAAATCGTTCAACCGACACGTCGAGATAGACAAACACCAAGTCGCACGAGCAAAACCAGTGACAACGGGTGGACTTATGGACACAAACGGTAAACAGGCGCACGGAACGACGGTAATCCAATTGTTTCATTCGTTTAATTTGTTTGACAACGAGCTCTAGATTGGATCTAAACGTTGAAATAAATATTTCACAAATATGCTTATACATGGGAAGATTCACTTCCTTTTTTCCTGGTGTAACACTTAGGTTAACAATCTGATACTTCCTTATAGTTAGCAAAAACGCTATTGTAAATGTTCGTGTGAAACCGATTTTCTGTTTGGGGGGGGGGGGGGGGGGGGGGNGGCGGAGGAGGCACGACCAAACAAAAGACCGGGGCCAACGTTATACACAAACTGACTGAGCCTGGACACTAGGTGGTTGGCAACTTTTCATATTCCCTTGTCGATATCACGGTGCTCCACTACACATTACGTTCGATTACATCCCATTGACGACAGCGTTCACACGATCAACCATTCACCTCCTCTAATCGGATCAACAGTTAAATATGATGTACGGTTTTTAGATGTTGCAAATAATATGGGGCAGTTAAGACGTGCACAATGATCAAAGTAACTGGAACACGAAACTATGGAACAAAGCCGAAAAGAAAGTGTTTTACAATGAAATTGTTTTTATCCTACAGCAAGATGTGTAATCTTTCTTATTAATTGAAATCAAAAACTCTTAACTATCCTTTCATCGCACAAACTACGATCAGCGCTTTGCTTACCTTCACCAGCCACTCATCCGGAATATGATGATAGATCAAAAGAGAACGGGGACGGTAAGTGAATTTAGGTTAACCAAATCGGTTGTTCAGATACGCAACTCAACGCGTGAAAATATAAACGGAAAGAAGATAATTCAAACATGTTCTGCAGAGTCAAGTGTTTTATTCGATTCTGAACGAAGATAAGAGCAAAATAATATAACCATACAAACGGAAAGTATGGAAAACGAAGAAATGGGTTATCATAACTGCTACATTCATGACCCACACACGTATCACATATACTAGGTTTTCACTGTTTGCGTAGTCGTGTTTACCACACCACTAATTGAACTCGATGCAACCACAGTTCAAGATATGGTTTTGACCTAGTCCGCGTTTATAAACACTAGATGAATAGAGCTCAGTGCGTGTGTGAGCGTATCCTCTCTCTCTCCCTCGGTCTGTCCAAAAACGCAGTTTCCCTGATTTCAGGAGCCTATCTTTCTGAAGATCGTGGCTTTTGATTCACTTTTGTTCTCCGTTTCAACAGACAGCTAGACGTTGGGCAGCCGCCGGAGACCAGATGTGCTGAGCTTACGGTCGCACAGATTGAAACATTCGTGGGTAAAGCTCAAACCATTTAACACAACGGATTAGCAAATGTGTTGTATTTGTCTATTTTCATTCAATTCCGTGATCCCATGTCAGTAATTGGTTCCCCATTCGTCTCCCAATTGAGCGACCTCATTTGCTCTTATTTAGCACCAAGTGGTGACAGGAATTTGCATACCGCAGTCGGTCAATGTATAATATCAAGCAATAAACTGGGACATTTGCACAATGTATTTAACTCTGTGAGTTCAGATAATTCTGAGTTGCACACTCTAGCCAGACAGAGAGAGCGAGTTACGCTGAACTCTACGGAATCACTAAATTTACCAAAGTCAGATAGTTCACTCACCTCGGTCGGCGGTTTATGATTACATTAAATTCACCATTGTGAAAAAGCCACATCCACAACTCGCCTCAAGCAACAATGTTGGGCGAACGTTAATGCAAACCAATTTATCCACGTGCTGAAGGGTAAAATTAAGCACGGAAAACATTCGAATGGTTCATGTCTAGTCCTGGATAGAACACAACCCGTGTAGCCATTGGAACTTGAGCACCAGGGCCTATACCGATAAGAACACGTCAGTGACGAGCCGTGCCCTATGTCATGCATGAAACACGTACACAGCATGCGGAATAAGAGCAAACATGATACCCCTTCAGTGAGACGTCGGTCGGGGCAGTCAAATAAGAAGCGAGATCTAATGCTCATTGATCCCGCTTCGCATGGAGTATGCATTTTCGATGACAGTCCGCTGCGGCTCGCACAAGTCCTTTCTTTGCACTATCGTACGGCAATTTTGGTAGCTGTCCTTTGCTTACTCACTAGGTTTTCCAATTAAGATGTAGCAGGACGAACAAAAGCTGAAAGCATGATTGAAATGAAGATACAGTCAGTAAGCTACGTCTAGTTAGAAAGTGGATAGATGATCCTGCGTAGAGGTTTACGACATCCAGATATGACTGTATTTTTAACCATTTATTTGAGTCCCCATGAAACCCTCAGCTTGCACAAGGGTTTTCATACTCATGCTAGATCATGATTTGGCCAAATTCCATCTACTTGTCTCAGCAAAAACTGCATGCCGGAGCAGCCTACTCGTGAAAATGTGCGACATGGGCCAACCAACGCTATCATTGCAGATCTGGTGCCCATTTTTGTTATTACTTTCCCGCTGTTCCACCGAACTTGTACAATGGGTAGAGAGCGGTGTTCGAACAACGGGAAACTGTTTATCCTCCTCCAGGTACGGCCATATATGTAGCATAAATAAGCACTCAGCTCCATGTCAAACGAATTCGTCACAGAAATGTGTGTTTGTCCAGGTTATTCTCTCCAACATTCTCCTCGATTTTGGGATGGACACGATTCTGGAAACGGCCCGGTCCTTGTACGATGANTACCAGTTGAGCTACGAGACCACACCGAGAGCAATGATCTTTTCTGTGTGGCTTCGTAGCTCAGCTAGTAGAGTGTGCGTGTACAAAGCTTAAGCGGCGTCCATGCGTGGGTTCGAGTCCCACTGAGGCTACTGAACTTTTCACAATCGCCATACAAACCTCGTACCATGTCGATGCCGCTATCATCGTACAAGGACCGGGCCGTTTCCAGAATCGTGTCCATCCCAAAATCGAGGAGAATGTTGGAGAATAACCTGGACAAACACACATATTTCTGTGACGAATTCGTTTGACATGGAGCCGAGTCATTACATGCACTACACACATTGAGACATGCAGCTNAACACATTTGGTTGTATTGAAGCTCTTCACCGCCGTCCACCAGATTTCTCCGAGAAAACAAGAATGAAAGATGACTAGGTAGTAAAAAAAGTCAAGATTTTATTGATTATCATAATGACAATAGGAATATGATAAAGGATGACTATGATAATAAAGAGAAAAACCAAGGAACATTGCGCACCCATGACGATGAAGGGCAAAAGAAAACAAGTCTAGGAAATAACCGTGCACAGGGGAGGAATAAAGAACAAATGAGAGCAGAGTACATGAAAGACGTGAGATATTGAGATAATCATGTGTTTGTGTGCGTGTGAAAGAACGAAGCATGAGAAAGCTACTCGCGAATGAGATATAAAAGAGCCCAATAATTAACCGTTCCGATGAAACATGATCTGATCTGATAATAAAGGCACTCGAATATAATCCGGAAAACATTGAGGTGTATAGGCATAATGTGAAAGAAGCGACGGATAAAACAGATCTTGCACATGAGCCTGAATGAGGGAAATACTGTGCGATATTGGGCAGTTCAAGGAGTTCACAGCCTTAAATACCTCTATGATAAAGTGTACAGTGGAGATTAATCAATATGACCATAAACAACTGTGCATTTGAGCGGAAAGGTGGAAGAACAATCACACAGCGTCGAAAAAGCTTTCCTTGGATGAATTAGACAGTGGTGGACTGGAGGATATATTTTGTGTTTCGTTCGGTGTTTTGGTAGCATCTATCACTGAAGGTGAACCGACAGAAGCCATGGGTCGGGTGCACACGTTCATCTGTCCCGGAGTCGGTGGCATGGACGGTAATGGTGCATTGCTCAGGGAAACTCGGTTCCGGAGACGTGAAGCAGAGTCAGATCTGGTAGTGGGAGTGGTGCTAATGCTAATACTGTTGTCGGGGTGATCGGAAACCACCGATGTTTGGGAAGCGTAGCGACGATCCAGCAGACGTTGGGTTGTGTTTGTCAGTGACTGACTGTTCACGGTCGCAGCGAAATCGTTTCCGGTGCCGAGAAATGCTTCTGTACCGTGACCGGCTGCATGACCAATCAGATGACTGAACCTGAACACACAACCATGAACAAGAGAAAAGAAATAACAGTGAAAGCTAACAGAAAATCCTTCAAATTTAAATGCAATCGGAAGTTTAGTTGTACAAATTGAGGGAGTAATGTTGAGCACGAAAACTGAGTAAGTGTACCCGTTGCGCTATTCACAATAGGACACTTAGTATTTCTGAATGGCGAATGAAGCTCAGAGACAAACGTAGACTGAGCCACAATGTGAGCACGAACCATTCATCGAACAATGAATTTGTATAACGTTGCTGGTTCAGATTATGTCAAAGAAACCACCGGGGTTTTGAAAGATGAATATATACAAAGATTTGAAAAAAGAAATAGAACTATTCATTAAAGCAATTCAAGTTTATGTTTCAGTAAGAGATAGGCGAAAGTTCAACCCAGTCACTTTATTCGGCACTGATTCAAGTACCCCAGAATGAATAGCGGGTGACATCCGGAACTATGAACATTCAAAAACCACAACTTGATTTGTACACTGAAAGAAACAAAGAAACGTGAGTAGATGAATCCCCTTTCTCCCAGGACTGAAACTTCACACTGTATCGTTCGTCGCGCAGGCTAATCAGGACCGCGTTGCCCATTGCATCGAGCGGGGTAGGTAGTGATAATTGGGTTACTTCTCAGATATCCCTAACTTTGTTCAACCGTTTGTCTTCCGTACCCAACCCTCGTTCTTGCTCCTTCTTCCGAAGCATAATATTCCGTCGGACAACTTATTTGCCACTCGCCAAAGGTCATTGGCAAATAGCACTGAAAGTAGTTTACCGTTAAACAATTTGCATATTCCTAAGCCTTGTCAACCTCTCAGACTAGGGTCTTCAACGTGAGGTCTCCGAAGAGGGTAGGCAACAAGCATATCTTGAGCGTACAATGGAATCTTTAGCAATGGGCGTCTGTTGCCTATCGGAGACATGAATTCAGGATCCTAGTATTATAAGCCACCTGAGCGCGCCGGGTCTATCCTCAAGGTACCTCCTTCGCACATCAGGAGACGATGAAGCCCGCCCTTTTGGATCAGCGAGGTGTAGGAAACGTAATAACTGATAAAGCTGAGACCACAATGTCGGATTGGATACCTTTCAACGGTCATTTGTACACAATGAGGCTCCAGGGTTCAGTTAGCGTTCGGAAGAGAAGTAACGTCAAAAGATGCTTGTTCATCGTAGTGGCATATGCACCAAACAATTTCAGTCCTAATTCAAAACAGGACGAATTTTACGACAAACTCATTCAGCTTATCCGACTCAGCCGTATCTCTGATGTCATAGTGCTTGCACGTGACTTCAACGCCCAGGTTGGAAAAATGAGCGCATCTGAAACTCGTTTAAGAGGTGGGTGGTGCTTCGTACTTCTCGTTCAGCGAACAGACAACGGTGATCGACTACTTCAGTTTTTCGCAGATCACCGGTTGTTCTTATCTAGCACCAACTTCAAAACAGTTCTCGTCGGACAAAAATTGCAGATCCTATAAAGCTACATAATCTCAGTTCGGATGCACTTCGTCTCATCGGTCATCGTCAAAAATCACCTCCTTAGATACATCATCCTCGTCTACGCCATCCATCAGTTTGTGCACATTATAAGAAGCTTCGACAGAAGCAAGGAGCACAGCGAAGTGGTGGAGTAGATCAACAGTGGGACCAAACCAGACGAGTAATGCACTGGGCAGCAAACTTTGCTTGTTGAGCTGAGTCCGAAGCTCACCGGAGACATTGGATCTCTCAGGAGGTAGCAATGCTGATGGAATGAAGGATTCCAATCTGCCAGGACCAGCATTGTAACCGGTGGCGCCTGCAAGGTCAGCTCAGGAAAAGCTTTACGAAAGATCACGAAAGTTGGTGTGCCAAAATAGTTAGTGAAACGGAAGTAGCTTCTATATCAGAGAACAGTCAAAGGCTGTTTCACCCGATAAGCAGCACCGGAGATCGTTGCATACCGGTCAGTGAGACTATTTGCGATAAATGTAGATACAGTATCCACAATAAACACCAACGACGAGATCGCTGGGTAGAGAATTTCAGTGAACAGTTCCATTGGTATGGTGCTGATGCGGCTAGTCCCGCAAGTTAGCAGAAAACCAATGGGTGGTATAAAGTGGGCCCCCATTAGAATTAGAAGTTTGAAGCTGTATTTACTCTTTAACGAAAGGGAAGATAGTGGGACCCAATGAGCTTCTCCCCATTCTTTTAAAACTGGGTTGAGGTGTCTTTCTCATCAATTTGATTAATGGCTTACTTCGCACCATCTGGTCGAGGGAGCATATCCCTTTATCCTGGAGTGGATTGTTGATCGTTACGACCTTCAAGAAGGGATCAAGCAACAACTGCGGGATTAGTTTAGTTCCGATCATCAAAGTGTTAACTTCTGTGATACTTCACCGACGGACACCCCTGAGGGAGATGAATTCGAGAAGAGCAAGCAGGATTTCGACCGGGTCGTTTTCAGTTTCAAATAAACAACCTTTAGGCATGCATTTCCGTGCGACGCTTTTGGTTGCCTATTTGGATGAACATAAGGAGAAAGACTGCAAAGGTTCAAAGTAGGATCGAAGAGAATAGTTACGATGTCATTGCACTACCTTTCCGACAATATGCGCGAACGCTGCTGTTTACGACATCCAGCCATACCGCACAGTGTCTCTAACCATCGGATATGATCATCCCGAGGTCCCAGCTAGGGAGCCTTGGGGGACCTATGTGACCCAGAATCCCGGTTAAGGTTTTCATACAGTCATGCCAGGTCTTAATTTGACAACCCTTGATCTTTTGTCACAGTTTAATTTCCGTACGAGTATCCGTGTAATATATCAACGAACCGTCTTTACGTGCTTTTTCTCGTGTAGCGAGAAATAAGGTCAAAAGGATCATCAAAAATTCACATGGCAAATGGAAAAAACACCGCGCTGGCTGGAAAGTTGCACTTGAGCAACGAAACTTGAAGAGCATTGGTTTTCCGATCATTTTGTCGTCGAATGTTTGCTCAATTCTTTCCAAGTTATCGGACATCGGTCTTCTGATTCACTACGGTGAGTACTCCAAAAGTAGTGTGCTACTTTTTCAAGAATCCGTCGAGGACGAATCGGTTCAGATCGAAGGCTTCCAATTATTTCGAGCAAACAGACTTCCAGGAAGAAAAACTAAAGGTAAAGGTGTCAACAATTATGTGTGCCGGTCGTGGTGTGACTCCACCAAATGCATATTTACTCACTGCACATAAAATAATTATTGTATTTCTGTAGAATGTAAGCCACGTTTTCTCCTGCGTCGCTCTTCGATCATCTTTTGAAATTTATACATCAATACTGACTGTAATCCTAGTGAGTTTTCTACTTTCCTGGATGTATTCTATCCAATCATGTTGGAGAAATCTGTAACATCTGTATTCATCGTTACTGGCGATTTCGACAGATCTGATGTG